TGTCCTGGCAAAATTTCCGTCATAGCACACTGTATGGCGTATGCCCGTCTTCATTAGCCCATTCGGAGCAAAACAGTAGGACGTTAAACCCCATTTCATTTCATTTTCATTTCATTTTGGTTTATTACAATAGGGCTACGATACATTAACCTCATTATACGATACGTATCACGGTATAGACCTCACAATAAGATACATATTACGGTATGGACATCATGATACGATACATATTGCAGTATTTTTTCTTTCCAAATTAACTTAGAAAAATAAAAAAAATACATGATATTTAAATTGTCTGTTTTTTCCATCTGGTGTTTTTAATCCAAATGTTCCCATATCCATGATTTGTGGTTTGCTGGAGGCGAAAGATATTTCGGTGGGACACATGTTTCAATGGCGTAAGCCATCTTTCCTCCTTTTCACGTGAACTACAGGGGGACATAACTCTGCATGATAGATGAGTATCAGAAGAAAACGGACAGTTAAAAAAATCTATACCTTGTTTACTGAACCACCAATAAAAAAGCTGTGACGTTATTTGAGTCCTCCTGCTCATAGAAATATAGACTAGAATATGAGAAGATGGATTAAAATTATATCACAGATTGTTTATTGGTGGAAGTTACTACTAATGAAGGAAAACGGTGGAAAATTACTAACGTTGAAATTTACCTGTGGCAGGTAATATTGACATTCAGGATCATGTTTTACGTATGGAAAGGATATGTTGACATAATTCCTTGCATTATTTAAGATATTTATGAAGCTTTTCATAAGGAACTGGGTAATGAATATTTACATGTACCGAATGCTAAAGGTTTTATGATACTCTTGGATTGTGAAATGTCCTGTTTATAAAATGTGAATCGAGATAAAAGATTTTCCATGTTTATTTTCAGTGGAGAAAGAGACGAAGGGAACAGGATGAAGAGGATGAGGATGAAGAAATGGAAGAGAAGCCAACTTCAGGTCCATTTAAAACAGCGAAAGAACAAATGGTACATTATACTTTATTATTAGATATGAGACGTGGTTCAGCTTGGTGGAGGACAGAAGACCTGGCAAAGGACAATGTATAGAACCAAGGTCCCGTGTACACATTGGCGTATACGTAAACGAACCATTAGCAGTTGGAATGCAAAATAAAAGTAGGCCATAGCGCTGTAATCCGGGCAAAATTTCCCTCATAGCACACTGTATGTCGTATGCCGGTCTTCATTAGCCCAGTTGGAGCAGAACAGTAGGACGTTAAATATAAAAGATTCTGGAATATATTTTGACTTTGTCATAGACTACAACTGGTAGCCTGGCTAATCGTGGAATATTTTACAGCTTTTTGATAATTATTTTGAATTGTTCCATTTCAGGCGATTGAACAACAGAAAAAATATGGAGGTCAAAACAGAGGTCAAGGTTATATACAAGGTCAAGTGTCCACAGCTTTGTATGGTGGAGCCAAAAAATCTCTTGGAACAAGGTTGATTATATTTATTTTGTCTGACAGTAATAATAATAATAATGATGAATTTGTATAGTGCCTATTCTCTGTAGAAGGTCAAACTCAATCGTGCTAAGCAGCTGCGTTATTATTCAATCTGATTAAAATACAGTTCTATATTTCGTTTCATTTTTTTATGCTTATTATGGACTCCACTGCATGAAGATCTGAACGGTTGTAGTGGAAGGTTGCGTCAGGTGTCATACAAGCAACTTTTGACCCTATGATATCAAACATTGATTAATCAATCAGCGTTGATGTTTCTAGTGGTTTTCCCACAGTTCTGTGCACCTCACTCCAAACACTCTCCGTAAGAGACTGTTTCATTGGCTAATCGTTCACATCAACTAGAACGCCTGTTATATAACAACTCTTCCAGATCCTAGTGTAGTAAAGACAAGTAAAACGAAATTTTGAACAATAAAAAACAAAATGAAATAGGATGTGTGTTTTAACCAGATTGGGTTTTCACCACAGCCAAATAAGTGAAGTGTGTTTTAAGTAGAGATTTTAAATTATCTTTGTAGTTGGCCATTCTAACTAGTTGTTGTTGGGGGTGGGGTTGGATGGCCGAATGGTTAGTGCGTGTGCGTTGTACTATAAGGTCTGTCATTGAGTCAAGTGGCGTGGTTTCGATTCCCCGGTTGTACGTGACAAGGAGTAGGGTCGCCTGTCCAACCTCGTGAGCTTTCTCCAGGTCCTCAGCAATTTCCTTCCACAACTAAAGACCCCTACGCGCAAGCGAATTATTGAAATAAAATTGAACCAAGTGTTAGTCCCGAATTGGCGAAATGACCTAGTTTGTGTCAGGTGGACTTTAAACCCCCTTTCTCTCTCCTTGACTTATAATAATGATATATTTTGTAGACGTGGACCCAGTAGTAAATTTATTCCACCTGTTATTAATAAAGAAGAAGATGGGTAAGTATAAAATCATGTATTCATAATAATAACTTTATTTAATGAGACAACTTAAACATAGATCATGAAAGAGCTAAATCTGTCTATTGCATGTATTTATTTAGGCCTGAAATGTTATCTAAATTATTAATTAGACATTAATTAACTTATCCAAGTGAGAACAGTCAGCTCTTTATCTAATCTCCCATATTGTATCTTTAAACAATATATTTAGTCAAGATATTTGAATGGGATTCGGGAACAAGCTTAGCCTATGTAAAACCCCTCTCCCTGAAATGTTGAAATGGGATTGAATGATATGTTAGTCCCGAAATTACCTGTTTTGTGTTGAGTGGATGTTAAACCCTATTTCTCTCTCTCTCCCTTAACTAAAAACATGTTAGTGCCATTTTCTCCAGTAGCATAAAATATTTATTACCATTATCACTTGTTTTGTAATAAACTGTAGTTGTTATTAATCCCAGGTGTGTTACCTGTTAATTACAATTAGATGATATTTGTTTTTAAAGGTGTATGATGAGACCTGATAAACCTCCAGATAAAACTGGTGAGGAACCAATCGATGAAAGACTTAAAGGAATTGATCCCAAAATGATTGAATTAATCAATAATGAGGTATTCTATTACTGTAATCCTTTATACTGAACCTTATTCTACTACTGTAGCCCCTTTATACTGAACGTTATTCTATTACTGTAGCCCCTTATACTGAACCTTATTCTATTACTGTAGCCCCTTTATACTGAACCTTATTCTATTACTGTAGCCCTTTATGCTGAACCTTATTCTATTACTGTAGTCCTTTATACTAAACCTTATTCTACTATTGTAGCCCTTTATATTGAAACCCTTTATACTGAGCCTTATTCTATTACTGAAATCCTTTATACTGAACCTTTTTCTATTACTGTAACCCTTTATATTGAACCCTATTCTATTACTGTAGCCCTTTATACTGAAACCCTTTATACTGAACCTTATTCTATTACTGTAACCCTTTATGCTGAAACCCTATTCTATTACTGTAGCCCTTTATACTGAAACCCTTTATACTGAACCTTATTCTATTACTGTAACCCTTTATGCTGAAACCCTATTCTATTACTGTAGCCCTTATACTGAAACCCTATTCTATTACTGTAACCCTTAATGCTGAAACCCTATTCTATTACTGTGGCCCTTAATACTGAAACCCTATTCTATTACTGTAGCCCTTTATACTGAAACCTTGTTCTATTACTGTAGCGCTTTACACTGAACCTTATTCTATTACTGTAACTCTTTATACTGAAACCTATAAACTCAGCTCCTTTGGAGTTCACTCATTTCATGTTGTTCCTGCCACCTGAAAAACTTAGATCCTCTCCGTCATTAGACTCCTTTAATCCAGACTGAAAACATTGGAGAAGTATTATAGCACAATATAAAGGGACTTATTATCATCCTGTAAACAGATTGCTGCAGTGAGTTATAATTAAAATAGTAATATTAAGATATTTTGATTTTCCACAGATAATGGATCATGGACCTAAATTACATTGGGATGACGTTGCTGGGTTAGAGTTTGCTAAGAAAACCATCAAAGAAATCGTTGTATGGCCAATGTTAAGACCGTAAGTAGATATTGTATGGTTAAAACACTGGATCCCAATCGGATTAAAATACAGATCTATATTTCGTTTTGTTTTTTTTTATATATATACTTTCGATGGCCTACACTACATAAAGATCTGACCAGTTGTAGTAATAGGTTGCGTCATAGGTCATATGAGCGGCTTTTGACCCTGTGACGTCAGACATTTGATTAACCAAGCAGCATTGAGGTTACTAGTGGATTACCCACAATTCCGTGCAGAAAACGCCTAAAGCTCACCGTTACAGACCGTTTCATTGGCAAATCCCTCACACCATTCAGAACACATCAGTGATAACAACTCTTCCAGATCCAAGTGTAGTAAAGACAAGTAAAACGAAATTTTGAACTATAAAAACGAAATGAAATAGGATCTGTGTTTTAGTTAGATTGACTGGATCCTCAACTTGATTAGATCTAGAATTATCAATGTATTGATTACATAATCGAGGGGGGTTGGATGGTCAAATGGTTAGCATATGCACGCTGTATCTCGTCTGTCTGTCATTGAGTCAACTGACATGGTTTCTATTCCCTGTTTGTACATGACAAGGAGTAGGGTCGCCTGTCCAACCTCGTGGGTTTTCTCCAGGTTTCCTCCCACTGCTAAAGACCCCTACGCGCAATCAAATTATTGAAATAAAATTGAACCAAATGTTAGCCCCAAAATGACCTAGTTTGTGTCGAGTGGACGTTAAACCCCATTTCTCTCTCTCTCTGATTACATAATCTTGGCCCTAGTTCATAAAGCATTCTCAGACTAAGAATTTACTCAACTTTGAATTATTATTGACTATTTATAGGGATATATTTACTGGTTTAAGAGGACCACCAAAAGGACTTTTATTGTTTGGACCACCAGGAACAGGAAAAACTTTAATAGGTGAATATATTTCATTCAATTAGAAAAACTTTAATAGGTGAATATATTTCATTCAATTAGAAAAACTTTAATAGGTGAATATAATATATTCAATTAGAAAATGTTTGGTCCCGATATGATGGCTACCGACGACCGACACGTTATTACCTTTATGACATTTTTGAGTGATGGCGGTATGCATACAATCCCATTTCTGCAGCAGTTCCTTGAACTTGTAAATTAACAGTAGTGTTTCAGAACATAAGGTTGCCGTAACAATTTGTACATCAAAATATTCTGGGAAAGTATGACAATCTTAAAATTTCTTAACCCGTTAACTGCGTAGGACGTTATATAACGTCCTGGACAACTGCCACTGAAGGTATTTTCCCCAACCTATTCTTCGAACATACGATCGTAGCATGTGTAGGACGTTATATAACGCCTGGTTGAGGAAATCTAATTGAAGGGAGACAACTCTATTTGCCGTTAGTTTTAATATGGTTTCAGACTACTATCATTTGTATTCAGGAATAAAAAGGTCCAAAAATGACGTTTTTCGTCAAATTAATTACACAATAGGGGGTAGTTAACAATTACGCACTTAACAGGTTAAAATACCAATTTGAGGTCCTTGATAGTCCTGAATTTTTACCTTGCGTAACCTGCGGGAACTATCAAAGATTAATATAATTTCTTATAACTATTCATTATGTTTTCAGGAAAATGTATAGCAAGTCAATCAAAATCAACTTTCTTTTGTATTAGTGCTTCTTCATTAACATCAAAATGGGTAGGTGGCCGAGTTTTTGTTTTGATCAAATATATTAGCGAGAACCTTGTGAACCCACAAACGACAAAAATTATAATCTGATCTGTATGAAATTATCTTGTAAATGCCCCAATTACCTACAAAAGAATAAATAGGCAAAAACCCTTGTCGATTACTTGGACGATTTAGCTGCTGTGGGCATATGTTTCGTTGCCTGGCATCTATCTTTAACATTAAAAATTGATTATTAAATGTAAATAGTGATAGTAGTTATAGGAGCAAAATGTCCTCATGGCACACAGTATGGCATAAACCCAGTCTGTTTAGTTGTTCGGATGGGACGAAAAACCAAGGACCCGTGTACACATTGGCGTGCACGTAAAAGATCCCTTGGCAGTTGGAATTCGATATAAGAGTAGGCCGTAGCGCCGCTGCCCGGGCAAAATTTCCCTCATAGCACACTGTATGACGTATGCCCGTCTTCATTAGCCCAGGTTAGGAGCAGAACAGTAGGACGTTAAACCCCATTTCATTTCATTTCATTTCATAAACCCAGTCCTTTTATTAGCCCAGTCGGTGTAGAAAAGTAGGACGTTAAACCCCATTTCATGTTATGGTTGTTGAAATAAATATTTGTAGGTAGGGGAAGGAGAGAAGATGGTAAGAGCGTTATTTGCCGTAGCTCGATGTAATCAACCAGCTGTTGTATTTATTGATGAAATCGATTCTCTTCTCTCACAACGATCCGATAACGAACACGAAGCCTCTCGTAGAATTAAAACAGAATTTCTTGTTCAGTTGGTAAGATGATTAAAATAAATGTATTTCAACATAGATATTATTAGATAAATCATTTAGCAGGTGTCATGCAATAGACAGAGCATGCTCACTCTTTAATAAACACCTGGTATCACTGGTTATTTTATCATGTGTTGTTCACAAGTGATAATAAGTGTCATGCAAGACACAGATCATGCTTACTCTTTAATAAACACCTGGTATCACTTCCCACTGGTTATTTTATCATATGTAGTTCATCATTAGTGTAATAGTGTTACAAGATAATGAGATTGTTTATAACAGTTATTAGGATAGGTGATTAACTCCCTACTGTACCTTAAACAATACCTGCTGTACCTTAAACAATACCTGGTGAAATATACCTGTATTATCAGTTAATATATATTCACAGGTATTTCATCACCTATTGTTATATATAGCATTAATATATTTACAGATATTATCCTTAATTATCATCTCTGTTATCAACCTGCCGAAAATATCCCCACTTTCTTAATACTACCAGAAATAAAAAATTAATTATCGTCTTTGTTATCAACCTGCGGAAAAGATTCCAACTTCCTTAATAATATTGGGGGGGGGGGGGGTGAATGGCCGAATGGTTAGTGCGTTGTATCATAAGGTCTGTCATTGAGTCAACTGGCATGGTTGCGATTCCCAGGTTGTATGTGACAAGGAGTAGGGACGCCTGTCCAACCTCCTGAGGTTTTCTCTGGCTCCCCGGTTTCCTCCTGCTGCTAAAGACTCCTACATGCAAGCAAATTATTGAAATAAAATTGAACCATATGTTAGTCCCAAAATGACCTAGTTTGCATCAAGTGGATATTAAATGCTCTCTCTCTCTTCTCTCTCCCCTCTCTCTCTCTCTCTCTCTCTCTCCCCTCTCTCATCTTCTCTCTCTCTCTCTCCCCTCTCTCATCTTCTCTCTCTCTCTCTCCTCTCTCTCTCTCTCTCATCTTCTCTCTCTCTCTCTCTCTCCTCTCTCTCTCTCTCTCTCTCCCCCCTCTCTCTCTCTCTCTCTCTCTCTCTCTCTCTCTCTCTCTCTCTCTCCCCTCTCTCATCTTCTCTCTCTCTCTCTCTCTCTCTCTCTCTCCTCTCTCTCCTCTCTCTCTCTCTCTCTCTCCTCTCTCTCTCTCTCTCCCCTCTCTCTCTCTCTCTCCTCTCTCTCTCTCTCTCTCTCTCTCTCTCCCCTCTCTCATCTTCTCTCTCTCTTCTCTCCTCTCTCTCTCTCTCTCTCTCTCTCTCTCTCTCTCTCTCATCAATATACTTCATATTTTGACTGAGGTCCAGCGGTTAGGCATTACCCACTCGTCTAGACTATCACGGACTTGAACTCTGACATAGGCCATGATAGTTCCTTTCAGAGCAGTCTGTCACGAACAAAGTCCTCTCTGATTGTTTCTGTTGGTCCTTATTAAGGTGCAATATGAAAATGCTGCTCTACCCCAACCTCTGTTTTATGGTTGTTTTGGAGTCCTTACCTTCTATTTTTCACCTAATTCTCACCGTAATTCTCCTTTGTTTGTCAACAGGAATATTTCTCACCACTTCTGACACAAATGAATGATAATCCAACACATGTGAATTAGAGATGTACTTTGATATTGCAGCTTAATAGGGACGGACGATATTTTTCAAGTTCTGTTTTGTCCTAGGTGACACCACATGACTTGCATTGAAAGTATGCCAAGTTGTTGAACAAAATACTGAATTGCACCAGATGGAAATTATTCTGAAAGGAACTTTGAAACCCGTCTCATTTTATATTTTTGTCTACTGTTTAGGATTAACATGCGTTATTTTTATCTATCAAAACTAATGCAATGTCTATTTTGAGGTTTTAAAATCTATTTATGGAATAGGATTCAATTTTTTTAATTTTTTGAGGTTAAAAAATCTATTTATGAAATGTCTTGAGTTTTGAAGTGCTGTAAACTAATGGAATAGGATTCTATTTTTTAAATTTTGCAGGATGGAGCTGCTACTGATTCTGATGATAAAATTCTGATAATAGGGGCAACAAACAGGTAATAAGTATAGAAATACTTACAATAGGTGTAACAAACAGGTAATAACGTGTGGTTTAATGGTTAAGAGTCAGACATTAAGTGATATATTGAAACAACACGAGTGATGTTAGTCACGAGTTGTTGTTTCAATATATTACTCAATGTCTTGAGCTCGAGGCTATTAAACAACTTAGAATACAGACACTCGCACATGCATTTCAATGAAATATGTCACACGGGTCCAAAATTTTAACTAGTATAAATAATGTATGCTTGGCGCATTGCTCTTACCATTATTTCAAAAGGTATGCCAACATCAAAGATTGACGTCACATCTATATTTTAAAAATATATACTAACAGTAATAGGTTTGATGCAATGAGTTAAAGATGCAATATATGTAAGAGTTAGATAAAGAGCCTATCGTTCTTGCTATGATGGTTCAAAATAGATAAAGTAAAATGAATATATTGAACGTTTCAGTCAAATTACTTTAATCTGAGTGAAATTATGACTGAAGATATAGCGTAGATTGTTCATTGTCTCTCTCTCTCTGTTTTAGACCTCAGGAAATAGATGAAGCGGCTAGAAGAAGATTAGTAAAGAGATTATATATACCACTACCAGAACATATAGCTAGACGACAAATTATTACAAACTTATTATCTCAACAAAAACATGAACTAACAGATGAACATCTAGATATAATATGTCACAAGTCAGATGGTATGTTTCAAGTTTTTCAGTGGGTAAAGTGCTGGTTCGCTAGCCTGGGGGTCGGGTGTTCGGTCCCAGCATTGGCCGAGAAAATTCACCGTGATATTCCAACGTGATTCTCCCTTGTCAGTAGTGCAGGACGGAGGGCCTTACAATTACAGCTGTCTAGTCGTTCGAATGGAATGAAAAACCGAGGTCCCATGTATGCTTTGGCATGCAATGTAAAGATCCCTTGGCAGTTGGAATTCGATATAAGAGTAGGCCATAATGCAGCTGCCCAGGCAAAATTTCCCTCATAGCACACTGTATGGTGCATGCCCGTCTTCATTAGCCCAACCAGAGTAGGACGTTAAACCCCCATTTCATTTCATGTTCCAAGTTTTAAATTTTAGTTATGGAGATATAAAAATATCTTTCATTTCATTCACTGTCAAGATCATTGTGCTATTTACCAATAGACCAGACGGGCTGCAGCCTCAGGCTTCAAGAACTATGGAGGGGGGGGGACTCTGGCCAGGGCGTATAGATTTTTTATATGCCTACATTTTCATGTTGACATATATTGTTGTCACCTCTGTCCATCTGTAATTTGTTTGTGGACACTTCAGATGTCACAATTTTTATCCGATTTTGATGAAACTTGATATATAGGTTTATAACCCAAAGATTTCGGTTCCTTTCAATATGTTGGACCGTAACATCCTGGATAATGGGCCCTGGTTGTATGCAAAATCGCTTTTTTAGCTTGTTCTCTGTCAACCTCTTGCAAAATGTGAGTGTATCTTGCATGGCAACCACTTGTTGACACTGTCAATGTCCTCGGCTTTTCTCAAGTGTGTTTATAACACACTTTTATCTCCCTCTAGTCGTGGAGTGAGGGTGGGGGATTGGGAGGGGTGTTATAAGTGGAGTGAGGGTAGGTGATTGGGAGGGGTGTTATAAGTGGAGTGAGGGTAGGTGATTGGGAGGGGTGTTATAGGTGGAGTAGTGTGGGGGATTGGGAGGGGTGTTATAGGTGGAGTGAGTGTAGGGGATTGGGAGGGGTGTTATAGGTGGAGTGAGTGTGGGGGATTGGGAGGGGTGTTATAAGTGGAGTGAGGGTAGGTGATTGGGAGGGGTGTTATAGGTGGAGTAGTGTGGGGGATTGGGAGGGGTGTTATAGGTGGAGTGAGTGTGGGGGATTGGGAGGGGTGTTATAGGTGGAGTGGGGGATTGGGAGGGATCTCATAGTGGAATATCCTAGGGTGGAAAGTGGACATTAAACCCCATTTATCTCGATATATTCTGGGTATATTATGTAATATGATGAATGTTTTAGGTTATTCTGGATCTGACATGGCAAATCTGTGTCGTGAAGCTGCTTTAGGTCCTATTAGAAGTATTCCATTTGAACAGATAGAAACCATAACATCGGATGAGGTAAGAATTATATAAATAGTAATAAATTACTTGAATACTCAGGTTAAACTTTCTACACGTCAAAGATGGGCGAGGTAGAATTATCATCGTAAAAACCAGGGCCACAATCTTTTGAAGGTCTTCTTTTTAATACGGTTGAATCTGAACTTGGGGATTATCTACTGTTTATATTGTGTCTTCTTAAAGATACATTATGTAAGATTTAGATAAAGGGTTGGTTGTTCTTGTTAAAATAGTTTAAAGATACATTATGTAAGATTTAGATAAAGGGTTGGTTGTTCTTGTTAAAATAGTTTAAAGATACATTATGTAAGATTTAGATAAAGGGTTGGTTGTTCTTGTTAAAATAGTTTAAAGATACACTATGTAAGATTTAGATAAAGACTGGTCGTTCTTATTATAATAGTTCAAAAATAGATAATAAAAAATGAATATATTGAAAATTCCATGTAAATGACTTTATTCTTAGTGATGTTATGGGTAGTTGAAGATGTAGCACAGATTGTTTATTATTGTAGCAGCGGTACTGGACAAAGGAGACAAAGTTTTGATTATCCTTCTTGTCATTAAATCTTTAAATATTGCGTGTGTTCTAATCCATTTAAATCTCTGCCATCCGATGATCTAGAGAGTTGATTATAGGCTTGTCATGTCGAAATAATAGATTGTATAACATTTAGCTCTTAAATAAAGGCATCGATCTCTGTAATGTTTGACAGTTCTTCATAATTTTGTTTAGCATGATTTCTCCTTGTTAGTGGTGCAGAAAGGAGGTTCTGGCAAGGTACACTGACTAGTCGTTTGGATGGTATGAAACACAGAGGTCCCTTGTACACATTGTAAAAGAACCTGTGGCCATTGAAATTTGATGAGTTGGCAGAAATGCTGCTGTCTGGGCCAAATGTTCCCTGGTCACACACTGCATGTCTTTATTAGCTCAACCCTCGTCCCACACTGCATGGTTGGAATATGCCTGTCTTCATTAGCCCCTTCATTAGCCCAATGGGTGTAGAAAAGAAGGAATTGTCATTCAGATGAACCAATGAGGTCTTGTTTTGGTATCCAGAAATCTATATTTGTATTTACAGAATAAAAATATATATTTTTTTTAAATATTACAGGTGCGAGCCATAAAGGTAGAAGATTTCCTGGAATCTTTAAATCAAGTTCGAGCAAGTGTTTCTGCTAGAGATTTAGATTTATATACAGAATGGAATAAATTATATGGCAGTTTTGGAAAATAAATTAAAAAAAATAAACAGTATTTGTTATTCATATGATTTAAAGGACCATCTCGATTATATTTTGGAGAATAAAACTGCTTAATTTTGTGTGAAAAGCCCTTAAAATCCACTACCTTAGGGCTGAGCAACTAACTCAATATATGTGATAAGTTTTCAAACAACTTAAACCGCTCAGTCTTATCTGGGGAAAAGAGACCGGTGTCACAAGCTGTATTATACAGTGTGTGGATAAAACAAGACTTTTATTTTATGAAAATAACCATTAGGTGAAATTTACCTTTCATTATCAAGTACAGAACGTGCATCATGCACTGTTTTCATACAATCATGAAAATGCGGGGGTATAGAAAGGTAAGTAAAAATTATTAAGGGATCCAGTTTGAAGCATCCGAGAGAGAAGTCAAAGAGAAAGGAATGTAAAAGTTGATGGGTCACTTGAAATCAAGTCGGCACTTTTCAAGCCTTGGGTTAATAATTATATATTTTACTTTGATCTTTTTCACAAGGTCGAGAGAAACCCTTTTAAATTAAGTCTGTTGGAAACTAGTAACGAACTATAGAGGTTGTGTCTCCTTCAGCCTACCACACCCCTCCCACCCCGATTGACGCTGTTCACTTTGTATTTTATTCCTCTACATTACATAAATTATTTCTCCGAGACGTTGCAAACTACCATATTATGAAATGGAATCTCAAAAATGAATTTTAGTCCAAAAATCTATGACATCCGAAGTTGTCTTAATATGTTCCTTGCCCCAAAAAACCTGGGGATAGGCATCAAGATCATCAAATTTGGGTAAATAATTACAGACCTACGGTCATTTCGAGGTGTTGGCGGCCATTTTTGGCATAATAGGCCAACATCATTTTTAATGAGTTCTTTGCCCCCCCCCCCCCCCCCAAAAAAAAAACCCTAGGAATAGACCCCAAGATCATCAAATTTGAGTTGATAGTTACATAATTATGATCATTAAGACGTTTCGGTGACCATCTTTGACGCCATCTTGAAAAAACCCCCAACACTTTCCCGGGGGTCCTAGTTTGGTAAACTTTTAGTATGTTATAAAGTACACTAAACCCTACCAGAATCAGTTGAGAAACCTTTTGTTACAATTTGGGGGGCTAAACTGTATTTTGACCTGACTATTCGGTAATAATCCACATAATGAACAAGACACGATTAATAACAGATTATAACTCCCCACACATTTAGGAACTCAGACCACACGTTTAACAACTCCACGCATTTAAGAACATATTATCCACTATCCAAACACAGTGTAGTCTACGATATTTTACACGTGCGAGCTTTAAACCCCCGAAAGTCCACTAGAAAGAATATCTCCACTGTAATCCTATCCCATTCCAGCGAGGTAGAGCGCTGGTGAGGCTGACAAGGAAGATATTGTCTAGTCATTCGGATGAGACAAAAATCTTAAGTAAATATTAGCGTGTACGTAACAGAGGTCGGGACAGCTGGTACTCATTCAGTAACTGGATGAGAATAACACATGGCACAATTATATGGAATACAAGTTACGTAAAAGATCATTTCTTACGACTGTCTAGTCGTTCGGATGGGTTGAAAAAAACGAGATCCCGTGTATACATTGGCATGCACATAAAAGATCCCATGGCAGTTGGAATTCGATATGAGTAGGCCATAGTGCCGCTGCCTGGGCAAAATTTCCCTCTTAGCACACTATATCGCGTATGCCTGTCTTCGTTAGCCCAGTCGGAGCAGAACAGTAGGATGTTAAACCTACCATTTTATTTCAGGAAACGTTTCGTCGAGGGTTCTCTCGTCGTTATCAAACAAAGAATGTCAACCATAGTACATGGATATACAGAATATGGAACAATGAAAACAACGACAGATAATCAGTTGCACACGTTACAAAAGAAACGGCAACAATTGGATTTTAGTCTCTATGTTCAGACGTAAAACTTCATTCCTATACCCTTCCTTTCCCTAAACTTGTACCGTATTCTTATACCCTCCCTTTCCCTAAACTTGTACAGTAAAACTTCATTCCTCATACCCTTTCTTTCCCTAAACCTGCACCGTAACACTTTATTCCTATACCCTTCCTTTCCCTAAACCTGCACCGTAAAACTTCATTCCTATACCCTTCCTTTCCCTAAACCTGTACCGTAACACTTCATTCCTTCTACCGTCCCTTTCCCTAAACTTGTACCGTAAAACTTCATTGCCTATACCCTTCCTTTCCCTAAACTTGTACCGTAAAACTTCATTGCCTATACCCTTCCTTTCCCTAAACCTGCACCGTAACACTTCATTCCTATACCCTTCCTTTCCCTAAACCTGCACCGTAAAACTTCATTCCTATACCCTTCCTTTCCCTAAACTTGTACCGTAAAACTTCATTGCCTATACCCTTCCTTTCCCTAAACCTGTACCGTAACACTTCATTCCTTCCCTTCCTTTCCCTAAACCTGTAGCGTAAAACTTCATTCATATTTTTTAATATCACAGATTTTGATCTACCCCCTATATAATCATTATTTGACAATCCATATAGTCGTGTATTAATATTTATTCAGAAACTTTTAACTCTTGTTAATGTTGTTTTTCTTTGACCATATATATATATTGTGCCATGTGCTAAGTGTTGGACTCGATCGTTCCACTGATCGTTTATTTTAATTTAGGATTGAAGCAAGTCGGGCAATATAAAGATTTCCGTGGGTTATTTCATACGGCATTTGCCATTCTACGCACTGTGATCCATCTTCTTCATACTTCAAGCGGAGCTAACTGTAGACAGGCAGCCTAAGTTTAGTATGCGCATTTGGATGACGGGATGTCAGTTTATTTGAGCAAAAAAAGATGAGGAACGAAAGTTTAAGACATTATGGCGACATTTTTACAAACATGATGCAAACCAGAAAATCTTTGGCGGCCAAAGTTAGGGTTTTTGTTTTTACCAGTAAAAAAAAATGACGCTTTCAGACTGAAACCATCTCGTTATTCCGGACAGAAAACAAATTATTGGAACGTTTTATAAAATGAAATGAAATGAAATGGAGTTTAACGTCCTACTCTTCTGCACCTAACCTGGGCTAATTGAAGACGGGCATACGCCATACAGTGTGCTATGAGGGGAATTTTGCCCGGGCAGCGGCGCTACGGCCTACTCTTATATAGAATTCCAACTGCCAAGGGATCTTTTACGTGCACGCCAATGTGTACACGGGACCTCGGTTTTTCGTCCCATCCGAACCACTAGGCAGCTGTCCTTGTCAGGCCCTCCGTTCTGCATCACTGACAAGGGGAAACCACGCCGGAAAATCGAGATGAACTTTCTTGGCCAATGCAGGGATCGAACACCCGACCTCCAGGCTAGCGAGCCAGCACCTTACCTACTTAGCCACGTGATCCCCACGTTTTATAAAACATATTACAATAGTCTGTGGCGTCCGTGTGACCAAAGACGGGTTTGTTTTATGATAAATCGGCAGTTGAAGTTTTGCTGAATTGTCCAGTTCATTTGCCGGTTTTGGTACGTTTTCCCCTTGTTTTTAGTGGTGCAGGGCGGGTGGCCTGGCAGGGACAGTGTCTAGTTCTTCGGGTGGTGCGAAAAATTGTAAGCCTACACATTGACGTTCACGTAAAAGAACCCTTGACAGTTGGAATTCGATATAAGAGTAGGACGTAGTACCGCTGTCTGGGCAAAATTTATTTCATAGTACACTGTATATGGCGTATGCCCGTCTTCATTAGCCCAGTCGGTCTAGAAAAGTAGGACGTTAAATACCATTTCATTTCTTTTGATTTGCCTTTGAATTGTCATTTAGTATTAGTTTAAATTTAACAAAGTACGACAATTTAATTACAAGGCTATCAATTAAATGTAATTTATTCAAACGCAATATATAACATAGTAACAGGATTTCGTGTATGACAACCTATCCTATTTTAGTAGCCTGTGGGTACTACTCCATAATTAAATTATTGTAAATATTTTTTACTGAACCATCCCTGTTTTTTGTGTATTATTAAAGTCAAACAGCAATGTATAGAAAGTTTAGTTAGTTATTTTTAAAAAATATTTTATTACTTTTAAACGAACAGTTAAATTACACGTGCTGAGTTGCACGTAAACTATAATATTCAAAAAAAAGAATCACTATTGTAAAATATTTGAAACTATATTAATGTAATCAGGGCCGTAACTAGCTCAGAACAACGAGGGGGGCGGGAAGTGTTCTCAGGGGGGCTGTAATATTGATGGACAATGTATATCTATTTTTTTTATGGTCGAAAATTTTTTCACAGGGGGGGGGGGGGCGAAACTGTGCCCCCCCCCCTTAGTTACGGGCCTGAATGTAATTGTTAATTCCCTTTTCTTTTTATACAAAAGGGTTTTCACCAAATCTATAACTTTTTTATAAACAGTATTTTATTTCAATTGAAAATAGATTGGGGAACAGGCTTGGCCTATGTTAACTCCTCTCCAGAATTTACAAAAATAAATGTAATTTATGTACGCTAAACATTTATAATATATACTGGCCGTTCCGTTTACTTATATTATTTTGTTTTATTTTGTTTCAATAACTAATACTGAATCATAACAAACAGTGACTATTATTTTGACTTTTGCCTTTTTATTTTGTCTTGAATTGAAATCAAATTTAAAAAAAATGGGATTTAATGTCCTGCTGTTCTGCGCCGACTCGACTATATGAAGACGGGCTTACTTACATATAGTATCCTATGAGGAAAATTTTGCCCGGACAGCGGCGCTATGGCCTACTCATATTTCGAAATCCAACTGCACAAGAGTTCTTTTACGTACACGTCAGTGTGTACACGGGACCTCGCTTTTTTGTCCCACCCGAACGACTATATACTCTGTCTCTTGTCAGGTCCGCCGGAAAATCTCGATATTCGACACGATCTACAAACAGCCCGTCATTAATCGGTCCATCTACAAAACAAAAAAAATTTGCAGACAGATCTTTCAGTGTTGCTGTTCCACGGCTATGGAATATTTTACCCGACAATATAAAAAATTCTAAATTATAAGATTTTTAAGAAATCGCTAAAAACGTAAATCTTTCATGGTCTTACCCAAATTGAATCTACGGTGGCTAGGTGGGTAAGACGTTGGCTCGCTAACCTGGAGGTCAGATGTTCGATCCCATAGTGTTGGACCAAAAGTTCATCCAGAATTTCCGACGTGGTTCCCCCTTGTCAGTGGTACAGAACAGAGAGCCTGGCATGGGACAATGTCTAGTCGTTCGGATGGGACGATAAACTGATGTCCTGTGTACACATTGGCGTGCACGTAAAAGATCCCTGGGCAGTTTGAATTCGATATAAGAGTAGGCCGTAGTGCCGCTGTCCGGGCAAAATTTCTCTCATAGAACACTAATTATGGCGTATGCCTTCATTAGCCGAGGCTAAGCAGAATAGTAGGACGTTAAACCCCATTTCATTTCCTTTATTTACCCTGATTGATTAATCATAATATATTTATATACATAATAAATATCATATTAATTGTACTGTGCCATTGAATACAGGTAGATAGATAGATATTTTATTATATAAAACACCCTTTTCGGGCAGCATGTAAATTATTTATTAGCACTATATATTAAATATAGTTAACCCAACCCCATTAAGTTAATATGTGTTAATTAATAGTATATTACTTTGATAAAAACATATGTCATAACAAAAATCAATATTGAATCATTAGCACTCCTATATAATACTATGTCTATACACCACATTGTGTCCCCATTGCTGACTATACACTTGTTGCATTCCGTATCACATAGTAGCCTCGTTTTGAAAAGCACGCTTACGGTGAATCGATGATCTGAGTTTTAGCAGACGGCCTGACAGGTTGACAAACTTCTGTTGACACCGTTATTTGTTACCAAAACAAGTTAACGGTTATTTTACGTTTCTTGTTGTTCTATTGTGAAAATTGTTTACTTGGAATACTCTATTAGTTTGTAATTACAAGTGTCATTCGTGTGTTGGTTTCCCACACGAGAGGGGAATATTAAAGTTGAAGGTATTTTCTAAAAGTTTTAAACGGGGCAACGCGTGCTTCTTGATGAATAAGTTGCGTGATACTAGTCGAACAGCAACAAGTGACATTTTATGAAAAGAGTTGTATTTTTCTTGTGATTATTCAACATGCGAGATTCTGACTATGGGCCTATGTTTTAGCTTAGATCACGAGGAATTAAAGGCCAGATCAAGAAGTGAAATAATAGATCGAACTTTACAAACATGGGCCAAGCAGGAATCGAAAGTCATCAAAATTCTATTACTTGGTGAGTAAAATAATTGAAATTCTTTAACTTGAGGGATGAAAAAATGTGATTCATTTTTTTTATAACGTCATTCACGGTCTTCGTAAGAAAATGGGTTAATTTTAGTGATGAGGTCAGGACAAGCAAATCCATCATTGAAAACCATTTTACTAGAGGGGTTTTATCTCTGAGGGGGTAGGGTGAGTGTTTGTAAAACGCAAGTTTTTATTACGTCATTTATTTATTACGTCATATTCGTTTACCGTTAATCAAAAATAAAATCATGGTCATTTGGACAGTTGATAAAATTATTATAGGTATAGAATAAAATTAGTTAATTATTAACGGATTCTACTGATAGAGGCCATGGGAAAGCCGAGAAGAATAGGAATCCGTTACTAACGGAACTAGAATAGAATGTGACAGAATTTTATTGCATCGAAACCCCACTTGAGGGAAGCATATACGATACACATAAAGGTGAAAAAATAAAAGTACCGTACGAAAACTATGTGGACCTTTTTTTTAACGAGGGGGCGTTATTTTTGTGCCATTGACATATTTGCCTATATAGATTTCGGTTAGCCTACTTTAAATCGATGATGATGGATTTTACAGTAACGATGACATGTTATCTGTGTATTTCTTGTCATAACTTTTAATGATTAATCATGAAATCACTCATAATGGTCAGTCATGTGTCAATCACTAGGCTCCACACTCCATCAATAAACAGAGACACAAGTTCACTTTGTTAACAGATCTTTGATCAGGGATTATTAACTTTTATATCATAGTCAGATATGTCATAAATGGGAATTATATACTCTTGGAATTTTACTATGGTATAAACACTTATATACCATGGCAAAAGATTTCCTTTTAATGGGAATTATATACTCTTGGAATTTTACTATGGTATAAACACTTATATACCATTGTAAAAGATTTCCAAGTAAGGGGCATTATATATACCCTAGGAATTTTACTATGGTATAAACACTTATATACCATGCCTTGTAATTTTAAGTATATGTGATCAATAGTTTCAATGGAATGTGGTAATGGAAATTGAATTAGGCAGGCAAGACACGATTACTGTCTGAGGTTTTGACCAGATAAGTGTAAATAAAAACTGGAGAATCCAGGGGGGGGGGGGGGGGTCCAAGGGGTCTGGACCCTTCCCTGCAGGGGCAAACCATATTTTTTTCTTAACTACATTCATGGATGTAACGTCAAAAAATAACGTTTGAAGTATTGCCGCCATTTTGACCCACTCCACTGTAATCCTATAAATGTATGTACCTAAATGAGTAGATATGCTGTCTCAAAGTTTCTTATTTTATAAAATTCGTGGGTAGTTCCCCATCTTGTCTCAACCTATGACACCCTGAACACTCCCCTAGAATCCTAGTCAAAATGTCGTTCAGTAATAAACAACAGTTGTATTGCATAGAATTGTCACCTGTGTTTAGTAAGGTAGATAATGCATGTAATGATATACATTTAGATCTAATGTCACCATGTGAAATATTTTCCTGTTAACCCTTTTAAATATTTTCTATGGGAATACCCTGGTCCTTATTGCCTGGTTGTTATAATATTTTAAACAGTTTATATCATGGCAAGTTATAATAATTGGTGAATATTAAAAATACAAGCACTAATTGAAGCCTTGGTTTATTTCCAATGGACATAACTCTAATTGCCTTTTTTGATTTAGGTTAATGGTATTCATGTATTAAATGATACAATTTATGCCTTTTCTTGTAAAAAACATAAACATTATTTTTGCCACTCCCCCCACTGAAGATTAAATAAAGCATAGAATGTTTTTTATAGTTGACCTAACTTGTATAGAATGAATTATTTCCATGGGGAGAGATACAGTAGTTTGTTTCATCATTTATATAATTATTTATCAGCCTCTGTTTACTCAACCATATCATGTAGGTCTACTATAGATATCTAAACTAGGCTAATCATAATATTGTTACCTGATACATGATTATAATATATTTCTTTAATAACATTGCTTTCATTTCTGTTGGGAGCGGAGGGGGTTGGATGGGCAAACGGTTAGTGCATGCGCGTTGTATCATAAGGCCTGTCATTGAGTCAACTGGCGTAGTTTCGATTCCCCGGTTGTACGTGCAAGGAGTAGGGTTGCCTGTCCAACCTTGTGGGTTTTCTCTCCGGTTGTATGTGACAAGGAGTAGGGTTGCCTGTCCAACCTTGTGGGTTTTCTCCGGGTCCTCTGGTTTCCTGCAAGCAAATTATTGAAATAAAATTGAACCATATGTTAGTCCCAAAATGACCTAGTGAACATTGAACCCCATTTCTCTCTCGATTGGGAGCCACTGTGGCCCAGTGAATAAGACACTGGCTTGCTAACCAGGGAGTGTTGGGATTTTCCAACACAGGGTTTCCCCTGACAAGGACAGTGTCTAGTTGTTCGAATGGGATAAAAAACTGAGGTCCTGTGTACATGTTGTTGTGCACGTAAAAGATCCCTTGACAATTTGAATTCGATATAAGATTAGGCCATAATGCTGCTGTATCTGACAATTCATATAAAGAATTGACTGCCACTAGATAAGTGAACACGAAAGAAAAACAGAAAAAGTCTGTGCATTACCATGTTTTTATAAGATATAGAATGAATATAAACAAGGGAATGTAAGGACTATTTCTATTTTTCTCGTGTTCTCTTATCTAATGACATTCAATTATTTATCGAATTGTCAGGTATCCCCTTACAGTCCCATATATCAACTTTTGGTCTTCGAAGGAATTATTAGTGAGCAGAAATTCGGCCGTATATCCGTTATTACTTGTCACATCAGTCAGTTATATAGAGAGATGACTCGTGTTTTCCTTTGGCATTCGTCACTTCCGACTCAGGAAACCTGTATTACTCAGCTATCGTAGCAATGATCTCTGTGTTAAATTATATTTGGAATGTGTTTAACCAGCTCTATCACATATGTGATAATGACTGGCACCAATATTGTCCTTTAAAAGAGAAATAGGATATGAAAATCTGATGTATGAAATGGTCACAGATCAAAATAGATTTTCTCATTAACTTTTCCCCCAAGATTTTGTTTCATGAAACTGAAGCAGAAATCTGGGTTATTTTTATTTCTGGTAGTATTAAGAAAGTGGGGATATTTTCGGCAGGTTGATAACAGAGATGATAATAAATGATAATAGCTGTAGATATATTAAACATGCATTATGCAAGAGCAAAATCTGCTTATTACAAGTCTTTTTTTAGGCCTGAAATGTTATCTAAATTATCAATTAGACATTAATTAACTTATCCAGACCATAATAAACTCTCGATGTCAAGGGCTGGATTAGATTCCTATATGCCGCTAACGGCCAAAGATAATTAAATCAGAAAAAGTGGATAATTGAGACTATGCTGTTTATATTAATGATTTTAGTAATGATAACCGAGACTATGCAAAAATTTCACCCGCTTCTTTCTCGGCTCATAGTGGATCAATTTGACTGAAATTTTCAGCAAATTACCTTTACACTATCTAGTTTTTAACTATTATAGCGAGAACTGCCATCTCTTTATCTTATCTCCCATGATGTATCTTTAATGATAAATAACAATAGGTGATGAAATACCTGTAAATATATTAATTGATAATACAGGTATATTTCACCAGGTATTGTTTAAGGTACAACAGGTAGTTAATCACCTATCCTAATACCTGTTATAAACAATCTCATTATCTTGTAACACTATTATTAGTATTATTACCACTAACCACCCTCTTTAATTATAACAAATAGCCTGAGGCCTGTCTCCAGCTGTCTAATGGTGCTATATGGAATTTATATTAACATTATCTATTTATTAAACCAAAAACACCAGGTAACATTACATCATAGATAATTATATCCTACTGAGACTTATAATTATCTGGTTAATTCAGGTACTTCTTGAGGCACTCTACTTGAGATGTTAATACAGGTACAAACTAAGATGTACTTCTCTAGATGTTAATTAATACAGGTACAACCTGATATGTTCTTCTTGTTAATTAGTTTGAATATGTTTTAGTCCAAATATATCATAAAATTACCCAATTTGTACACTGGAAGGTATATCTTTAAGTCACTTCAGGTAAATTCTACTAAATCAGTGTCGGGTAATATTCAGGTAAAAATGGAGAAAGTCAGGAAAACAACCAGTCCCAATCGGCATCACCGATATTCTGTAACAGAATACAATTGTTATTGGAAACAATTCCTGGTTTCAACAAATTTTCTCTTATCGTTATCAAGCATTTATTCAAGAAATAAATAATAAACACTTTACAGTATATATATATAAAATGACATCGCAATTTATCAATGTAGTTTATTAAAAGTTTAATTTATTAGTTCACTTAGTTCTATCCAATCTTATCCCATCCCCCCCCCCCCCCCCACACACACCAAAAAAAAAAAGAGTTGCGACATAACCAGCCCTATTTTTTGTGTTCAAGTATCCGTAAACTCCAGTATTCTTTTAGTTGGCCTAATGACATACAGGATTATTCAATGACTTAAACTAATTATACATGACAAAAAAACTTTTTAATTGGTTTTAAAGATGTTATATATATATGTACAGTTACAGCATACAGGTGCAACAGGTAAATTGCGTTAGTAAGTAAACAGGTAACTTGACTAAACTTGAAGGACACATTGCCAAGTATTTAACTATTGAAAGAATTTACAACCTTTAAAGTTTTCACATTATGAAAGGTCAAAGGTTAGCCAGGATTAGGTGAAATTTAAAGGTGAAAGGTTAGGTAGGATTAGGTGAGATTTTAATGAAAGGTGTGAAACTATGATAGGACGTATGACAATGTCAAAATGCTACAAATTAAACTTGGCCTTGACACATAGTATTGTACAGCTGGCATTACTCAGTAATAGGATATATAGTGAGCTGCGTAGAGTATACTGTATGTACCCCAACCCCCAGGGCCAAGGAGAGGGGGTGTAGCCGG